GGCTCCTCCACCCAAGGGATAACTCCCCCATCCGGAGCCGGGCCATTTCCATCAGGCCCGACGCCCATTGCTGCTGCTGCTGCTGCTGCTGCTGCTGCAAAGGCCTTGGCCGTGAGATCATCCCCGGCACCCTCATCGGCGGAGTCATTTGCTGGGACCGAGGCCTCGGTGGCCTGGGCAACCTGTCGCACAAGATCGCTCTCGGACAGCTGCCGAGTGTCAGTGGACAGGGCAGCTGAGACGACCTCCTGCAAGGGCTCCGGGAGGTCGGCCAGCAAGCGATCCACCACAGTGCCAAGCTTCACATCAACCATGCTCTCAACTCGGGTGACATCTGCCTCGAGGGCAATCCATGACGCGTGCTCCGATCGAATGCTGGGGACATTGCAACATCAGTGGACATGCCAAGACCAAGTGAAGCATACTGAGGGAGAGAGGGTGGGCGGGGGGAGGGGGGAGGGAGAGGGAGCGCGTCAGGGAAGAAGAAAGGCCGTCAAGCCTGTTGACGCACCGCTCGACCGCATGGATGCACTGTCTGAGGGCGGTGTTGACCTGCTCGTTGGCCGGGTTCGGCCGGAACCGCTTGCGCCGAGTGGTTGGCGACATGTCGGCCGGGTGATTTGAACGGGAGGATCCACGCTGCTGGCGACGAAGCCGCCGGCGCCGGCGCCGGGCTCCAAGCCCCTCCGGGTCATCCTCGCCCGTGAGGAAACCATCCACATCATCACCATCATTATAGTCATCATCATCATCATCATCATCGTCACCGCTGAGTGTCGAATCCGAAGCATGCTTCAGGAGGTCGGCATCGCCAGCCAATCCGGGCTGGAGGCGTCCGGCGCGCAGATCCTCCACCAATTTCGAGAAGACATAGGCCACTGTGGTGGTGGTGGTGGTGGTGGTGGCGGCGGCGGCGGCGGCGGCGGCGGCGGCAGCGGCGGCGACGACGACGACAATGTATGGATGGTTAAAGGGATGTTTCGACACCAGAACACCGACCGACGGGCCACAGTCGAAGAGTGGGGAGAGGGGGAGAGAGTACGCACAGGCTGGCCGCTCGGAAGCAAGGGCGCGCGAGGGGAGCGTGTCGCGAGCCTGCAGGAGGTCCTCCACGAGCGAGTCGACCAGCACATCATCGGGGCTGGGCGTGCGAGAGGCGGCGGTGGGGGCCGCGGCCATGAGTGCGGCCTGCCCGGTGGTTGTGGCCGCGGCGCTTGGTAGCCCGCCGCCGGGCGGGAAAAAGGCCGATCGAGCGCCGGCCAAGAAGGACATCGGCACCGGGGGGCGCTCGCGTGTGGGTGCTGTCGGGGCTGGTGGCGGTGCGGTTGATCGGCCGGAGTTCGTGGCATTTTGGGTCAAGGCGATCCTTTGGGAGAGGTGTGCCAGCTGCCGGCTACTGGATGTAGCCCCCAGTTGGGCCAGAGCCGTGGCGTCGGCCGTCGCCGGGTCCACGGCAGATGTGGAGCGAGGGTCTGTGGCATACCGGCGTGACCGCTGCGGCCAAGGGTCGGCCACATACCGGGGGTTCATGGCCAGGGGGGGAGGGGGGGGGAGAGCGGCACGAGAGGGGGGGGGGAAGGAGAGGACGGGGGAGGGGAGATCTGTCTGGATCCCGGAAGCCAGATGTCTCGGCGGATCTGCCTTTTCGGGTGAGCCCCCAGGGCTCCTGGTATTTTGAAAATAACGACCGCGTCCGCCTGAGCTGCTCAGAAGCCAACGCATCGCCGGGGGATTCTGCAGAAGCAGCATCCTCCGGGGGGGGGAGACTCCGCGACCTTGGTGGGGGGACACACAGGCGGCTGGGGCGTCGCAGCGAGGTCCGTCATGGTGCAGCTTCATGCCTGGAGCCAGTGACGCTGACAAAGGCCCGGAGGCCACTCGGCCTCAACGTCACCCCGGGTAGGGCGACCGAGAGGGGGAAGGGGATCTGGTGGCACACTGTGCGTGTCTTTTTCATTCCCTTTTTCAACGGATCGAAGCAGGGTCGCCCCGCCCGGCGCCCACACACACACACACACACACACACACACACACACACACATACACACACACGGGAGAGCACGGTGAGACATGCGCCATTCGTTGGCACTCACGGACTCCCCACGGGGTGCTTATGCGGGTGGCTCTGTCCCGGGTTCGTCTCGCCCGGGAGCAGCACTCTTACCCCCCCCCCCTGCCCACTTGTGAGGCACCCTCTCGACGGGACTCGGCGTCCCGGCGGTGGCCACAACGAATCCTCGTCCTCCCCTCCTCCCCCCGCTCCCCCACTGTATGCCTCCCCCTTGCCGCCCTCCCCCCTCCTTGCCTCTTCTCCACCCGCATGCACGCACAGACAGAATCTCCCTCTCTCTCTGTCTCTTTCTCTCCCCCTCCTTTTGTCTCCCACCACCGAGCATATCTCCTCCTTGCTCCCCTGCCTTCTTGCATGCTGCTGGCTGACTCACCCATTCTGGTACACGCACCCCGCCTCACGTCTCAGCAAGAGAGAGAGAGAGATCGCACGCGCGAGCGAAAGTACACGCCATGTACCTCCCTCAGCTCACCCGCTACTCGCCGTCGGCTGCCCGCCCCGAGGTCCGCCACGCCCTCGCCAATGCCCTGCGCCATGCCACGCGCCACATCCCCGAGAACCTGAAGCTCTCGGACCGCGCTCGTGGCTTCCTGGCTCACGATGTGCGCCCCCACCATGTTGAGAAGAACTTCATCATGAACCGGTCTTCCAACACGGCCATCATCAACTTCGAGCACACCCTGCCGGTCATGGCCCGGCCGCGCCCCATCAAGCGCTTCACCATCGAGGAGGACGACTAAGAGGGGCTCCCCATGTAATGTGCCTCCCTTCGCCCTGGATGTTTTTTTTCCTCCTCCCTCCTCCTCCTCCTTCCGGGCCGTGTGTCGGGCACGGCGTCGCATGCGCCCGCTGTGCCTGCTCAGAGATGACCAATAAAATAGATTACCTTCTTTGGTGGTGCACAGTCGCGCGCGCGTGCCCGTGTGTGTGTGTGTGTGTGTGTGTGTGAATGTTGTCCCACGTTTGCGTGTGGATGCCGAGGAGAACTCCATCCCACATGCTTGGCAAGACCCCGCCATGAGGTGCCGCCAGGGCACATGAGGAGGCGAGAGGGTGGCCACGGGCGCACGCGCCACAGGGCAGACCCATCTGCCGGCCGGGGCTCCCCCGAGTCGCGATCGGATGGGCGAAAGTTGCCTCAAGAGCGCCGCCCTTCCGCCGGCTGAGAGCGTCGCGCCGCACAGAAGGGGCGGGGAGCGTGTGGGCGCGATCACGTGTAGTCACGAGGGCTTATTGATGGAATAGTATTTCACTGTCACGCCCAGTAAGGTCCACTCCGATCTGCCCGCCGAGCTGGCCCTCCATGCGCCCGTGCCTTACGCAAGCCCGCGGGCAGCAGTCCCCCCCCCCCCCCCCCCCCCCCCCCCCCCCCGCCCGCCAAAGTCTCGAGCCTTTACTGTACCCCAACGCGGGGGGGGGGGGCGGGGGGCCGCCGGTTTCCTCGTCGGCCCCCCCCCCCGGGAACTAGGGCGCCGGAGAGGGGGGGGGGGGGCGGGTGAAGACGGCCCCTCGGTCCGGCCTGCTATCCTGGTGCAGGTGTCCAGGTCAATGTGGGCGTGCATGGTTGCCGCGGCCTGTTGGCGGGTCGCGGCTCGGTGGCGAGTGCCCTCATCCCCTTCCCGTGCCCAGAGAGACGGAGAGAGATGAGACTGTGCGGCGACGGCTGGTTCCAGCCAGATCCCAGTGTCCCCCGTCCCCCCCCCCTCCCCCCCCCCGGGGGGGGAGCCGATCGGCGCCATCCTCACAGTGCCGACGCATGCCTGGTCGTGAGCGTCACGATGTTCGCGGCGGTGCCCCTCTGACGAGCGCTTGATGCGCAGCCCGAACACACGCCGGAAAGTGTGTGACTCTCGGGAGGAGCTGCATAGGGGGGTATAGCATGAGGGCATGCCGGGCCCCCGGGCCAGGTATACCCCTCTTCCAGGACCGATGTTGGAAGTGGCCAGGATCTGCGTGCAGACGTCCTTCCGTGACCATCGGCCGCGGTCAACGAGGGCGCTCTTTCGCCCGCATCGTCCCGCGCTTCGGCCCCTCTCTCGCGGCCAGGAGCCTTTTGTCGTTGTGCGTGTGTGTGGGGGGGGGGGGGGGGGGGGGGGGGGGGGCGGGATGGGGGGGGGGGGGGGGGGGGGGGGAGCGGCATGCGGGGACGAGGGCCGGTGGGCGGCAGGGGTGAAGTTTCTAGTAGAACGGCTTCTCTCCACCCCTTCCTGTCTCCCGAGAGTATGCCTCGCACGACGCACGATTGCCAATGGACAGTCCCCCGCTCTCCGGAAGAAAGGCAGGGAACGGAGAAACTGCCCCCCCCCCCCCCCCGCTGGCGCCCGTCGTGCTCGAGTCGGCCGTGAGCGTGGCTGGAGATGGAGGGGACACAGGTGGCCCCCCGTGGCGCGGCGCCGAGCCGGGATTGCCGAGCAGGAGGTAACCCAAAATTCGCCATGCCGACCGGGCCCGTTCCTCCAGGAACGCCGACACCCGCTCCTGGCCATCTTGATGAGGCCGCCCCTTCCCTCCTGCCTCGCCCGTCCACCACCCCCTTCTCGTTCCCCTTGTCCCTCTCTGCCCCCTCCCCTTCGCCCCTCCCTCCGCGCACGTAAACCCCCCCCCCTTTCCTCCGGCCCTCCCTCGCTCCTCTGCTCCCCCCCCCCC